TTCAGCCCAAATGGTTGACATTGGAGTGATGAGGTTTTGGGCTATTGGGCAGGTAGTAAGTACCAGACAATCCAATAGGTTATGAGTCACAGTGCAGAGTAAATCAGAGAGGGTGAGTCACAGCATTGGCTGAATCATTGAGTGGTTTGTTATCAGTATAAAGCTCTCTGTCTCTTGTTCTTTCAGAGTGTGTGTCTTTAAGTATTTAAACACAATGGTATTGTGACAAAGGACACTTTATATTTGGCTTTTCTTACAGAAAAGCCAAATATCCAAACAAGTATCATTACCATTGGCAAATAATTGCCAATACAGCTACTCCCGGGGTGAAAAGGCAGACACCCCACCTACAATTGGCCATGTTCACTGGAATGAAATGCATCCAGTGAATTGGTAGACACAGGAGTTCAATAACATCTGATTTTATTAACAACTGATTATTTTAACTAACAATGGAAATATATATTTATGTATAAGCACTTATAAACATACTACTGGTTATCTGAAAACCAAGTGCACAAACTACTACATGGGGGCTCTCTGATATGTAAGTAGTTGTGTGTGGGTTCTGGAAGGGTCAGGGTACTGCAAGCTCAACAAGCTACACGCATGACCATGAATGCAGAAGGAACTAATACAGAATGATAATAACAGGTTAACAGGACAAAAAGGTAAAGAGCATGCAATGATTGATTGTGTGAACTCCTATGACCCAAGCTGTGAGTTCTGTGATTTAAATCAGTATTTCCAGGTGTTTCTGTTGAGGCCTCTTTGTAAATTTTCTACCAGTATAAATGGGGAAAAAGAACAAAGCTTTAAATCTGTTTAGTGAAAACAATCTAGACCTTAGAGAATGATAATATTACTATCTTTTGTTCAACCAGCATTTTCCATATTTTCATAAAATTATTTGTATTGCCATAATCCTCACAAAAAATAGTTTGAAAATGGATGACTGGATGGATTGATGAAGGGGTGGATGGAAGTTTACCTATTGAATTCACATTGATTGAAAGATTGACAGGATTTATATTCATAATAAAATGTTTTGATAGTGATGTATGACCATTTTATAATCCCTTTTCCGAAAAAAGTTGGGAAGCTGTGTAAAATGCAATTATTTGCAAATCATATAAACCCATATTTAATTGAAAATAGAACAAAGACAACATATCAAATATTGAAAAATATTGAAGTTTTATTGTTTTATGAGAAATATATTCTCAATTTGAATTTAATTCCAGTAGCACATTTCAAAAATGTTGGGACAGGGGCAACAAAAGATTGGAAAAGTTCTGCAATTCTAAAAGGAAACACTTGGTTGAATATCTTGCAACTAATTAGGTTAATTGGCAAGAAGTCAGTAAGATAATTAGGTATAAAAAGAGCCTCTCAGACAGTTAAGATGGGGAGAGGTTCACTACTCTGTGAAGGACTGTGTGGGCAAATACTGCAGCAATTTAAGAATAATGTTCCTCGACAAAATATTATAAAGAACTTGGGAATTTCACCATCTAAGGTAGATAAAATCATTAAAAGATTCAGAGAATCCAGAAAAATCTCTGTACACAAGGGACAAGGCTGAAAACCAATAATGGTGGTGGCACTGCATTTAAAACAGACAAAGTTCTATAATGAAAATCACTGCATGGACTCAGGAATACTTCTAAAAACCACTGTCTGTGAAAACAGAACATCACTCCATCCACAAATGAAGGATGAAACTGTACCATGCGAAGAAAAAAACATATCTAAACATGATCCAGAAATCATCTTCAGATTTTTCTGCGCCCGAGCTCATTTAAGATGGACTGAGGCAAAACGGAAAACTATCATATGGTCTTATGAATAAAAATTTAAAATTATTTTTAGAAATCATGAACACAGCATCTTCCAAGCTAAAGAGGAGAGGGACCATCCAGCTTGTTATTAGTGGACAGTTCAAAAGCCAGCATCCATGATGGTATGGGGGTGCATTAGTGTCCATGGCTTGGGTAGCTTGCACATGTGGGAAGGCACCATTAATGATGAATGATGCACAATATACAGGTTTTGGAGCAACATATGCTGCCATCCAGACAAAGCCTTGTATATTTCTGCATGACAATGCCAAACCGCATTCTGCGTGTATTACAGCAGCATGGCTGCATAGTAATTTAGCCTTTTCCAAACTACTCCCCAAGCCACTCCAGTATTTGCAGTATCCAATATACCAAAATTTTGCTGAACTTTACCACTATCAGATCTTGTTTGACTAATCAATACCTCATAAGGGTAATTAACTAATCAGTTTAATTATGTAGGCTGTATGTAAAAGTAAACAAAACCTTAAAATAGCTGAGGTGCCCCATGGGTGTAGTCTATAGACCAGAGATGTGTTTTCTATCTATTCAACAAGATACATCTGGAGAAGAAAATATGTTCTCATAAAAATGGTCAACTTCAGAATCAGAATCCTTTTATTTCCATGGTTGTACCATTTAAACATACTGTCAAGACAAAAAAATACACAAAATACACATACACAGAACAATAGATAGAATAAAAATGCAGAGAGAGATTTAGAATAAGAAGATGTGCCTCTAATCAAGGGCGTAGATTTAGGTATATCCCTACCAATATTGTGGGAGTACCATGTATGTTTGGGGGGGGGGGTTGTAGGGACTGATTTGGTCCCTACTAAAGCTGAAAACAACCCTACACTCTAGTTATCAATAAATAAACAAACATGCACACATATAAATAAGGATGGAATACTTTACAGCTAGATGTTTAATTTCAACTCTGAGTTTCCTACACCTACAGAACAGAGCAGCAAAGAGGATTACTTCTTTATATATAATATGATTGCGCCGCAGCGTCTCTCCGGCCATGTGCGGAAGAATATCTCACTCGCAATTCCCGCAATGGAAATTTAGGCTTCAGAAGACTCCCCCTACCGGAAGAGCATGGTAACTCTCGTTTGACACTTAACTGAACCGAAAACAGCAAAGGCACACCTTTGTGGGGACAGGACTTACTTAAAATAAAATAAAATCAAACTCATACTGTGTACTAATACGAAAGTATAAGAAGGCCCAGGAAGTAACACAATGATATATTTGATTAGCACATAAATACACGAGTGGTACTTTAAATAATATGCTAATAAAAAGAATGCTTGCTTTTTAAAATTAGTCTTCCCTCACAGTAATTGTAGAGTACTATTTTTTTCCAATGTATTATTATTATTATTATTATTATTATATTTTTGTTAAGGGAATCTTATTAATTCAGATGGGTGCTAATATGCATATTTTTCATATTCTGGTCTCTTCATAGCTTTTATACCGAGTCGGTTCGGTTTAGCCTTCTATAGGACTGCAACGTTGTCTTTAGACTTCATCACGTAAGAGTGGATGTGGATTGTCTGACACAAATATACACCTTGTGCTACAGATACTCGCACAACTTAACATTTCCAGTCGAACGTTTATAACCTTTAAAGTGACTGATTTCATCGTGAATTGCACCATATCAAGCCTAACTTCACTGTTGCGGCATGTCAGTCTGAAGCGAAATGCAGTTTCTTTAGACCATACTACTAGCAGTTCAGTGTTTCCTACAACTCCGACACGTTGTCCAAGACCACATCTGTTATCGCCCGCATATTCATATGCATATACAACACAATCTTCGTGGGTTTCAGTTCCACTTTAGGGTTAAACCATGTGTAGAACATTTAATGTAAAACACAAATATTATTCTAAATTAGGCTACGATGTATCATCCTTAATTGTCTCGAGCTATATGTCATTACCCACACTGCGATGCTTGTTCAGGTAAACAAACAGCTTTAAAAGTACTGTATACATATAAATGAGTAGCCTATAGGCCTAACAAAGACATCTTTAGTGACTAACACCATTTCAACCAAATGCTAAGAATTCATGGTGGTATGATTAAATGTTATTACACGTTAATTGAAAGGAGAATATTGTGGAATTTTGTATGAGGCAAAGGAATATTTAAATAACGGACACTGACTTTATAGTAATTTAAAGATTATCTTAAATCCGTTAGGATTTGTGAATTAAAAGAAAAAAATAAATTCTGATGGAAAAAAGTTGAACAAGCCAAAAATGATAAACAGTCGGGCGACGACGCCATAAGGCATCCACCTCCGCGATGTCCCTCAGCCACATCAGATGGTTTACGAAAAAGACGTAGTGAAAGAACAAATGACAAAATAAGAAAGGCATTCGCTACACCCTTATTCTGAAATTTTACTTGAATGCATAAATAAATAATTGTACCTGTACGATGGAGGTATGTCGATCCCAGACATGGGGAGAACATTCATATTCTTTTATGACCGTAAATCATGCTTTATAAATTTCTGCTGGTCGTTTGTATTTAGTTACACCATTTACATAGTAATATTGTCCTCGGATTTAATGTTTTTTTCGTACTTTTAAAATATATGTTAGTGGTGCTGTGGCGTTGTGTACCAGCCCTGTTACAAATTAATGCGCTTCCGAGACCACGGACTTATCGCAAGACACCAGCGACAATCAGCGACGGACAATGACGAAAATATCACTACTTTATGTGTGTGTGCGTGTAATACTTGAGATTTCCTACTGTTAATTATTCATATAAGCCCCAATAGTCATACAACGTATATGTACACACTAAGACCTTTTGCTTTTAAACAACTTTGACGTGATGCGTATTACACTCATTTCTGTCGACACCTTGCAAAACGAATAGGTTCCAAATCACTTACGTTTCCGAAACAGACTAAGCTCACAGTTGTTAGACTACATTTGTTTGATAAACCTATACACCTACTTACACTCAAACATTTATTATTAGGCATGATATTTGTAATGATATATATGTAATAAAAGACGTTTCAACCAACGTAACCATAGGAAACTGATATTTTTTTAATCACAACGACTTGCATGCAGGATATACAAATATACATATATATATATATATATAGATGTATTTACCTTGAGAAACTTGGACGATCCATATAGTTTCTGTCCTCGCTTTCCATCCAAATAATGTCGTAACAGCCCATCAAAAATCCCACAGGCTTAATTTTAATAAGTTGAATGTATTACTGTCACAAGCACAAACTAGCATTATAACGATGCTTACAGACGGAATATTTTTGGTTGACGTACAAAAAGTAAAATAACGGAATAAATAACAAATAAAACGTACTTGAAATGTCTAATTCCAAGTTTAAATAGCATTGGTCAAAATACAGGAAAAATTTTCATTTTCCAAACTAGCGTTCGTAAAGTCTTCAGGCTGTTTATTATTTTTTAAAAACGTCTTAATTTTAGATCCAGCAGCTTCAGCGGCTATTTCGCCTAATTACCTCCAGCAATTCTGAGTATAATCGAAAAGACGTCAATGCTCGTTTGAAGCTTCAGTAAAGCGAGGAATCTGAGGATGAAGCTTTATCGCTTTAACTGATCCTTTAGCGCACTTTTTGGGGGATACTTCTAGCCCTGGTGTATCTTCGCACGGGAACTGGATTCAGTCTTGCCCTGGGGTCTGTCACAAAAGCCTATATCCAGCACTCCCTCCCCACAAGTGAGTCGGAGCAGTGCGTGGGTCACACACTAAAGTGAATGAGACACTGTGGAGCGGGCGGAGCGGTGTGTGTTTGTGAAGAGAGAGAGGGAGGAGGGGAGGAAAAGAGGTGGAGAGAGGAAACAGAAGACAGCGAGAGACCGTGGTAAGTGCAGAGGTACAGAGACGCACTCTTTCGCAGGCAACCGGAAAGGAGAAGCTTGGTGGATCAATTAATGCTCTCTTATTCTCTATTGAGTGGACGAGGTAAAGCGAGAAAGGGCGAATGAGATTTTTGTAGACTTAATTACATAAAATAAATTATAGCCTATTTGTTTAAAATTCCTAATGTTCTGTGCCGCTTTGCGTTTTTTTTTTTTTATTATTTGCACCTTCTGGAGATGGAATTTGTTTCTAATGGATGAATTGACCTTACTGGGCGCTAACTAAAGCTTTATTAGAGAGCTTTTGCTGGTGACAACCGGGTGCGTATTCGTTATCAAAGATAACACTGTATTACTTTGTGACTGCTGTACCCAGGCACACCTCCCCAAGAGATAATAAATTATCTGCCATTGTTTGTAGATTAATACACTTCCTTACGCATAATCATTTGACACATACAGATATTTTCTATATAAACATTAACTTAGTCGGCTACTTTAAAGATGTATAAATACTGCCATAAATTCAACATGAAATAAACTGTAATCTGATTCACAGGATAAATTATGTAGGCCTATTTAATGATTTAATTAAATGCAGTTTCGAAAAGGACGTAGTTAAATTTATTTGACATAGCATTGACAAGGCGAACAACATCCAATGATATCTTAGAAAAAAAATAACACTGAACTATGACACAGCAATTAATTTTTGGACGGCGTAGAGCAGAATAATTAGAAAGAGATAAGTGGAAGAACCGACTGAGTTAGGAAATAATACATTTTTGCTATTTTGTGTTTGGTTTAAAGATAGAAATGTCCGAAACGACGAGGTAACGTCGTCGTTTTTCTTTGATAATCGCAAAAAATAATAAATGATAAAATCAATGTAACAATTTATAAAAAATAATCTACCTTCACTTGCCTCACTTTTTAGGATGTATGTTTAGCTGACGGTTTTATCAAGTTACATAGGGTATAATTCAGGACTATAGACAATGTATTCTGAAAGAAATTTTAATTCAAACATTTAATATAATCAGTTATATCTTCAAGGGAAAGCCCTCGTTCTATTACTGATTTCTACTCCCCTAATTACTTGTTTCATCAGACAAACATCTGCCCCTAAAATTGTTCTGTAGTTTCACAAATACAAACAAAAATTACCACATCTCCCTCCACCACTCATACCTGCACGCAAATACAACTGAACTACAACCTTTACCATAGGATATAAGATAAGGGAGCTCATCATATGCATTTATTATTATTATTTCTCCTCGCCATGGAATTGCTCAATTTGGATAATTCTCAGCCCCAGGTCTGAAGGTTCTCTGGCCAGGGGAAAGCAGGTGACTGTACAAAGCCAGCCATTCAGTGCTCCACTCATATGTTATTTCCACAGTTAGTGTCATTTCGGGTCTCAGGAACCAATTAAAATCTGCAATACAGCAAGTTCAAAACCAGGGACCATTGCCTCCCTCGCCATACCTCTACAGATGGAGTAATCTACTTTGTGAGTGAAAGGCCAAGAACTGAGCTGACAGCATAAGGAAATGAGGAGGAATCAGAGTCACTGGCAGTCTGTGACGGTCTTATTTCCTGGACATCAGCCTTTCTTATTCTGTCAAACAGGTTTGCATAGTAATGTACTCATGGATATTTAACAAGACACTTTAATGTACCCCTTTTGTTTTACTACTGTGTTGTATTTGTTTGATGTGTATGAAGAAGCGTTTTAACCTCTTGTAAATGCCATTTGGACCTACAAATGTTTTCTAAATTTCTTGATAAATTATTTTGTACTAGGATTGTGCTTGGATTTATGCAAGGAAAATGCTAGTATTTTCTGATCATCTTTCATTTTGCCTTTTTTTGCCATGACGAAAAAATGCCCTGCAGTTGTTCAGCAATAGATTTCCAGCAGAGTATGGTGCTTGAGTATGACAAGGCCTTGTGAAAGGAGGCCTCACTGCATGTGAACTGGCAATCATGTATCATTAACTACATTTCCTGCATCACTGTTTCCAGCACTGACCCTAAAGTACTTTACCTTCCCGTTTCCCTGCATGGGCCCTTCAAAACCATAAACTCTTTTGTCTGCATTGTAAGCTATGTAACTTTTGTAATAAATGGAATGTACAGAAAAATAAGTCTATAAAAATTAAAACATAACCCTTTATGTAACAGTCTGTGCAAAAGTAACTATTAAAAATATTTACACAGTAATCATTTAGAGCTACTTAAAACATGATAAAGACATGTGTGTCTGTATCTGTGTGTATAAACAAGCTTATAAACACACACACAAGTATTATTACAAGGATGTCTTATCAGCACTTTATTACAATTATTATTTGGCTATATGAATTTCCTTGCTCCCGCTTGATCCACTTGAGAAAAGCATTTTATTTCTTTTAGGCATTAATTTCTGTGAAAGGATTTTTGATAGTGATAATTATTGTTCATTTTCTGTATCTTCCTCTTTTACTTTTACAAGTTACTGAGCCAATAAAGTGCAGCTGGGGGAATGTGTATCTTAATTAACAAACTCAGACGCAGCAGTTCTTTTTTTTTTTGTCAGTGTTGCCTTTGCAAGCAGGATCTGAAAACAGCTAATTGGATTAGCCATGGCAACAGTGGTTTCTCTGGGCTTGCTGACAGGGGCTGCGGACTGAGGAGTGTGGAGACAAAAAGCAAAAGAGAAAGGCTTACAAGAGACAATCTGAAGAAGGCTGTCCGTAATGTAAAATGGCTGCAGGGTGAGGGACAGTCAGAGATTGAAGCAACTGTTTCAGGGTTAAATTTGTATGAAAATGGAGGTTGTGATGGAAAATGTAGTCAAAATTCGGGGTTTTCTTGACTCATGGAAACATTAAAATGAAAAAACTCAATAGTGATTATCTTATCTTGCATTAAAAATTAGTCCAAATAAGAGAAGGAAGTAAATGTCATAAGATACGAAAGTGGTACAAGAGTCATCAGACATAGAGGACAGATTGAGGAACAAGGAAATGCAGATCCATATTACCTAAAGGAACATCCAGTTTCTGTTTAGCAAAATAAAACTGCAATACCACAGAAAGCATGTTTTTTGGTTCTCACAAGGATGAATTAGCAGTAAACAGTTTAACAAATACAATACGGCTTACATTTAATCTGATGATGTTTGATTATTTAATCTGAATATTTGATGTTTGTTTGAAATAAAATAAAAATTTTAATCCAAAAAATAGTTTGAGGTTTGAAAATACTGAAAATAAAATGTGATCTTTTAATAAGACTAGTCTTATTTAGAAGTAATTTTGTGATGTTCTGAGGACTAAAAACCCTGTGTTTTTTTAATCTTCTTCTTCTTATTCTTTTGCTCTCTTAATAATAATAATAATTTCCCCTAGTGATTGACTGTATGTGAATCCTCTGAGATGGGCTGACACTCCATCCTGGTGACCCTACTGTGTCCTTCCTAGTACAGACTTAATTGACTCCCACGCTCACGTTTTGCATATTAGCGATTATAACATTTAATGCTGAACAAAAATACTGTCATTAAAAGACATAACTTTGTTCTATTATTTTTTTGAAGTCTTCCAGAATTTTCATTGCACATTGCACATTTTTTAAATGAAAGGACAGCAATTCCTTTTCATAAGAGCTGAATGTGCAAGGCTTACAAGGACTTATATTCGGGATGCCAATTCGGTCTTAGTCTTTAAATCTCGACTGAAGACCTATTACTTCAGTTTAGCTTACCCACAACCTTACACACTATAACTATGGCTGCTGGTGCTGTTGTACATGTCACTTTTATCTACTATGCTTGTCCATTTATGTGTCAATGCATGTTCTGACCATCCATGCTCCCTGCCTTCCCACATGTCCGGATGGTGCCCGGGGTGGGCACCATCTGAGCTGGAGTCCTAGTTCAGTCCCATGGATGGGTGACATCGTGAATGGGACCTACGGACTGTATCATCGTGGATGCAGCCTTCAGTGCCACCCAACACAGGCCAGCATGGAAAACAGACTTATTGATGAATTTTGCTCACCCTACTCAGGTCAACGTGGGTAATGGACTCACTGATGGACTTTGTCTTGATCTTTAATCACAGCTTTTACCTAGGCTATACAAGTAAGCCCAATCTTTTCTGTTTTCAGTAATGCTAGTATACACGGCAGCCAGTTGGACCCCCAGAGGTTTCTTTTCTCCTTATTTGGGATTTGTTGGTTCCTCTCCTCCGTTGTCATCTGGCTTTCTTTCTTTAGTTTCTTTCCTTCCTTTTTCCCATTCTGTATTATTCTCTCTAATGTTGTTTAATAAATCACAACAAATCCATGTAAAGCGCTTTGGGACTCTCTTGTGAAAGGCGCTATATAAAAATAAATTGAATTGATTTTATTAGTCTCCTTGGAGAAATAGTGGTTATTTATTCCCTCAAATTTTTCCAGATGTATATCACTTAATCCATTGTACTTTCATGTTACCCAGATGCATGAGAGAAAGGCATCTCTGAGCAGCCTGACAGCCTTTTCTGTGTTTTTACCCTCACATTTTTTTTATGGAAATTAAATATTTTTAAACATTCACATAACACATAATACAGTGTAAGCTAGTGGACCATTTCCCAAGCTAACGCAGCTTCATCATGTGCCAGGGCCTTGACTCCTCATAAGTCCCTGGGCTCTGGTGCACCAACATGCAGATCTCCCACCCAAAAAGGAGCACAACTTGGATGAACCCAGTACATTCCTGCATGGTGGAGCAGTATCCCACAGGACTAAGGACAAATGGTGGTTCCATTACTTCTGGTGCTTAGCTATATTGGTCTCCAGGAGTCCCCAACTCTTATCCTATTACTCTGGGGTGCAGGGGGTGGAGCGTGTCTTTCATTCTCAGGTAGTAACATAGCTCCTCCATCACAGCTACTTAAAAGTTCTCCCCCCTCTTTTGAGTCCCCAGAACAAGAGGACATCTTTTTTGATGTCATCGCAAAAACCCTTTGGGCAATTTTGTTCATGGCTGGGAGGACACTGTAATTGCCTTCCTTGGTGACCAGGAGCAGGTCCCACTATCACCTCTGGCCCGAGCCAGGAGGAGTTGAAGTGGTGCCCTGGCGTGGTAAGTTGGTGCCTTCTTGGCAGTGCAGGTGTCCCAGCATTGGACATGTAGTGTGGTATTACGATGGGAGCCGCCATGCCTGCAATACCTCTATTCCTCTTGCCACCTTACCATTGGGGTCCTGAAAGGTGAGAGAGGTGTGGTTGATTTAGATAGTGATGGAGTGCCATATAATTAGGTACAGATAAGGTGGAGAATTATCACAACTGCCAGTAAATCTTATTTAATAAATCAATAGTTGCATTGTATTTTTCACTGCTTAACAGATGATTGTATTATGCTATTACCATCATGACCCTGCAAAACACTGTGCTAATCCCACATTTCTGGCATATCCAAAATGAA